TGTGCATCCCTGGAACGTGTGTATATTATGAGGGTCTGTGATGTATACCTTGTACTCGGTACGTCCCCAGAATGTGTGTATATTATAAGGGTCTGTGTGCGTCTGCAGAATGTGTGTATATTATGAGGGTCTGTGAGGTATACCTTGTACTCTGTGCATCCCTGGAACGTGTGTATGTTATAAGGGTCTGTGAGGTATACCTTGTACTGGGTGCGTCCCCAGAACGTGTGTATATTATAAGGGTGTCTGATTAGGATTGGAAGCTGCCATTCCAACCAGATGACAATAAATGTGCCTTGGGTGCAGTACAACATGTTTGCCGTATACATAGCCGACAGTATTTAATTATTTATTAAGGATTCTTTTCTCAATTTATTTAACACATTTTCCTCTGGTCAGATTTCCAGGTTGCGGTGACGGAGCCCGATATTAATAACCGTCTGGAATCCTTGTGTCTGAGTATGACGGAACATGCGCTCGGTGGTAAGTACCGACATGATTCCAGTTTAAACTGCTTTTACCATAAAAATGGGTTTTTAGATGAATATTCAATGTTTACAAATTCATTTTCAAATAAACTAGATAGCACTTAAATAGTTTGATCCCAGTCAATGTAAACGCATTTTATGGGAGGGTTGTCTATTACCGGATTACGTCTTAACTGCTCCAAATGGTTTCTTCTACAGAGTTAAGACCGTAAACTCTCTTTTCATTTTGCGATTTTGCAGATGGCGTTGATAGAACTTCTACAATCTAGATGCTGAAGGTACTTTGTGAGCGCGCTGGGCGTGACACAGAGAACTGCAGGTCCGGAACCACCGATCCCCCGGAAGCGCCAAACAGAAATTTGCCTTTTTATTTCATATTATTTTGAAAGATGACAAAAAAGAGAATGTGAAGGCAGAAGCTGTGCTTGAAGAGGAGTTTCAAACGTGGTCATTTCTTATTGTCATAAATATCTTGTTTTTTATGCGAATGGTTTCCTGAATGAAAAGCGTTGTGTTCTGAACAAGGAAACCATTAAATGCCGTCAGAGGCCAGATACACTACTGTCCCATTATTGTGGGTACAGCGTGTGTGACCAAAGGCATGGAAAGGGGTGATGCTTTGCATTGCTTATTTTAATTCTATATAGTCTGTTTCTGTGCTATTTAAGTTAGGAATATTGGCCCCCTCCCCCAATACCCTTTATGTTTACATAAAAAGCAACTATTAAGGGTACAGTAATACTCTCAGATACGTGTTCTTTATTTGAAATGTCTCTATTATGTTGTCGTAGCTTTTCAAGCAGCCGGTTTGCAGATTGGATACACACGTCGGCTTGTGATGCGTTTTCGGTTTCTGTTTTGGGTTTAAGGATGTGGATTATGGGAGAGAGACGAGGCGCACACTGTGCTGGTGGGTCTGGACCACTTGTTGGTAGATGTTTAAAAGAACGTTCGAGACCGGAGGTGGAAAGTGATTTCTTTGTTTTTATTCTTTCTGCTCATCCAGTAACCATTTCAGTGCTGTAGTGGTGAATCCTCCTCGACTGCAAGTGTCACTCGATAGAACTGGAGAAGAGGAAGTGTTTTTGGATGATGCTGATTTTTAAATTCATTTTTATACAAAAGGTCATTTTTAGGTTTAGGTTAAACATTGACACTCAAAAAGTGCTTTTATTATGTGATCGGTTCCGTACAGAACTAAATCAGTGTTGCGTTACAGAATCTTCCGTCACACGATAACATTTCTTTTTGATCGATTGTGTCTCTTTAAAGTAACCATTTGTGAACAAGAGCATCTTCTCAAGCCGCTGCTGTGATGGTTTAGCAAGCTGGGAGGCATTGTGTTGCTTTGTGTCTCCTGCCCCCTTTAAATCAGTATTTCTATATAAGCTACGGAAATGTTCTTTTCCCGTGTGTGTAAATGAAACTACGTGAAGGTGTTTCCTTTTTTTTTTTTTTTTTTAATAGTGGTGGATGCTTCATGGGATGAGAGAGCCACATAATCACAGAAGGAAAAAATAGTTTCATTTTATTAAAAATAATGAAATTCGTAGTATTTAATGGACTTAAATAAATGCAAAGAGAGGGCAAAGGAGCAAAGCTTTAGTGGTGCAAAACCAGGTTTATTTTGTTATCATCATTATTTGGGCAGACCCCCATAAATCCATTTATTGAGTAACCTGGGTACGGACCCCCATAAATCCATTCATTGAGTAACCTGGGTACAAACCCCCATAAATCCATTCATTGAGTAACCTGGGTACGGACCCCCATAAATCCATTTACTCAGTAACCTGGGTTACGGACCCCCATAAATCCATTCATTGAGTAACCCGGGTACAAACCCCCATAAATCCATTCATTGAGTAACCTGGGTACGGACCCCCATAAATCCATTTACTGAGTAACCTGGGTACGGACCCCCATAAATCCATTTACTCAGTAACCTGGGTTACGGACCCCCATAAATCCATTCATTGAGTAACCTGGGTACGGACCCCCATAAATCCATTTATTGAATTACACGGGTACGGACCCCCATTAATCCATTTATTGAGTAACCGGGTACAGACCCCCATTAATCCATTCATTGAGTAACCTGGGTACGGACCCCCATAAATCCATTCATTGAGTAACCCGGGTACAAACCCCCATAAATCCATTCATTGAGTAACCTGGGTACGGACCCCCATAAATCCATTCATTGAGTAACCTGGGTACAGACCCCCATAAATCCATTCATTGAGTAACCAGGGTACCGACCCCCATAAATCCATTCATTGAGTAACCGGGTACGGACCCCCATAAATCCATTCATTGAGTAACCCGGGTACAAACCCCCATAAATCCATTTATTGAGTAACCCGGGTACGGACCCCCATAAATCCATTCATTGAGTAACCTGGGTACGGACCCCCATAAATCCATTCATTGAGTAACCAGGGTACCGACCCCCATAAATCCATTCATTGAGTAACCGGGTACGGACCCCCATAAATCCATTCATTGAGTAACCCGGGTACAAACCCCCATAAATCCATTTATTGAGTAACCCGGGTACGGACCCCCATAAATCCATTCATTGAGTAACCTGGGTACGGACCCCCATAAATCCATTCATTGAGTAACCTGGGTATGGACCCCCATAAATCCATTCATTGAGTAACCCGGGTACAAACCCCCATAAATCCATTTATTGAGTAACCTGGGTACGGACCCCCATAAATCCATTCATTGAGTAACCTGGGTACGGACCCCCATAAATCCGATGTTGGTAACGGTGCAGGACCCCTCAATCCATTCATTGGGTAACCAGGTGCTGCGGGACCCCATAAATCCATTCATTGAGTAACCTGGAATTTTGCGACCCCCATAAATCCATTCATTGAGGTAACCTGGAGTGCGGACCCCATAAATCCGATTGTTGAGTAACCGGTGCAAACCCCCATAAATCCATTCATTTGTGAGTAACCTGGAGTGCGGACCCCCATAAATCCACCATTCATTGAGTAACCTGGTGCAGACCCCCATAAATCCATTGTTAGGTAACCTGGGTACCGACTATAAATCCATTCATTGAGTAAACGGGTACAGACCCCATTAATCCATTTATTGAGTAACCGGATTTTCAGACCCCATAAATCCATTCATTGAGTAACCTGGGTACGGACCCCCATAAATCCATTCATTGAGTAACCTGGGTACAGACCCCCATAAATCCATTCATTGAGTAACCTGGGTACGGACCCCCATAAATCCATTCATTGAGTAACCTGGGTATGGACCCCCATAAATCCATTCATTGAGTAACCTGGGTACGGACCCCCATAAATCCATTTATTGAGTAACCTGGGTACAGACCCCCATAAATCCATTCATTGAGTAACCTGGGTACCGACCCCCATAAATCCATTCATTGAGTAACCTGGGTACCGACCCCCATAAATCCATTCATTGAGTAACCCGGGTACAGACCCCCATAAATCCATTCATTGAGTAACCTGGGTACGGACCCCAATAAATCCATTCATTGAGTAACCTGGGTACCGACCCCCATAAATCCATTTATTGAGTAACCTGGGTACGGACCCCCATAAATCCATTCATTGAGTAACCCGGGTACAGACCCCCATTAATCCATTTATTGAGTAACCTGGGTACGGACCCCCATAAATCCATTCATTGAGTAACCTGGGTACGGACCCCCATAAATCCATTCATTGAGTAACCCGGGTACAGACCCCCATTAATCCATTTATTGAGTAACCTGGGTACGGACCCCCATAAATCCATTCATTGAGTATCCTGGGTACGGACCCCCATAAATCCATTCATTGAGTAACCCGGGTACGGACCCCAATAAATCCATTCATTGAGTAACCTGGGTACGGACCCCCATTAATCCATTCATTGAGTAACCAGGGTACCGACCCCCATAAATCCATTCATTGAGTAACCCGGGTACAGACCCCCATAAATCCATTCATTGAGTAACCTGGGTACGGACCCCCATAAATCCATTCATTGAGTAACCCGGGTACAAACCCCCATAAATCCATTCATTGAGTAACCTGGGTACGGACCCCCATAAATCCATTTACTCAGTAACCTGGGTTACAGACCCCCATAAATCCATTCATTGAGTAACCTGGGTTACAGACCCCCATAAATCCATTCATTGAGTAACCAGGGTACCGACCCCCATAAATCCATTCATTGAGTAACCGGGTACGGACCCCCATAAATCCATTCATTGAGTAACCCGGGTACAGACCCCCATTAATCCATTTATTGAGTAACCGGGTACCGACCCCCATAAATCCATTCATTGAGTAACCCGGGTACAGACCCCCATAAATCCATTCATTGAGTAACCTGGGTACGGACCCCCATAAATCCATTCATTGAGTAACCTGGGTACAGACCCCCATAAATCCATTCATTGAGTAACCTGGGTACCGACCCCCATAAATCCATTCATTGAGTAACCTGGGTACAGACCCCCATTAATCCATTTATTGAGTAACCCGGGTACAGACCCCCATAAATCCATTCATTGAGTAACCTGGGTACGGACCCCCATAAATCCATTCATTGAGTAACCTGGGTACAGACCCCCATAAATCCATTCATTGAGTAACCTGGGTACAGACCCCCATAAATCCATTCATTGAGTAACCTGGGTACAGACCCCCATAAATCCATTCATTGAGTAACCTGGGTACCGACCCCCATAAATCCATTCATTGAGTAACCCGGGTACAGACCCCCATAAATCCATTCATTGAGTAACCTGGGTACGGACCCCAATAAATCCATTCATTGAGTAACCTGGGTACCGACCCCCATAAATCCATTTATTGAGTAACCTGGGTACGGACCCCCATAAATCCATTCATTGAGTAACCCGGGTACAGACCCCCATTAATCCATTTATTGAGTAACCTGGGTACGGACCCCCATAAATCCATTCATTGAGTAACCTGGGTACGGACCCCCATAAATCCATTCATTGAGTAACCCGGGTACAGACCCCCATTAATCCATTTATTGAGTAACCTGGGTACGGACCCCCATAAATCCATTCATTGAGTATCCTGGGTACGGACCCCCATAAATCCATTCATTGAGTAACCCGGGTACGGACCCCAATAAATCCATTCATTGAGTAACCTGGGTACGGACCCCCATTAATCCATTCATTGAGTAACCAGGGTACCGACCCCCATAAATCCATTCATTGAGTAACCCGGGTACAGACCCCCATAAATCCATTCATTGAGTAACCTGGGTACGGACCCCCATAAATCCATTCATTGAGTAACCCGGGTACAAACCCCCATAAATCCATTCATTGAGTAACCTGGGTACGGACCCCCATAAATCCATTTACTCAGTAACCTGGGTTACAGACCCCCATAAATCCATTCATTGAGTAACCTGGGTTACAGACCCCCATAAATCCATTCATTGAGTAACCAGGGTACCGACCCCCATAAATCCATTCATTGAGTAACCGGGTACGGACCCCCATAAATCCATTCATTGAGTAACCCGGGTACAAACCCCCATAAATCCATTTATTGAGTAACCTGGGTACGGACCCCCATAAATCCATTCATTGAGTAACCTGGGTACGGACCCCCATAAATCCATTCATTGAGTAACCTGGGTACGGACCCCCATAAATCCATTTACTCAGTAACCTGGGTTACGGACCCCCATAAATCCATTCATTGAGTAACCTGGGTACGGACCCCCATAAATCCATTTATTGAATTACACGGGTACGGACCCCCATTAATCCATTTATTGAGTAACCGGGTACAGACCCCCATTAATCCATTCATTGAGTAACCTGGGTACGGACCCCCATAAATCCATTCATTGAGTAACCCGGGTACAGACCCCCATAAATCCATTCATTGAGTAACCGGGTACGACCCCCATAAATCCATTCATTGAGTAACCTGGGTACGACCCCCATAAATCCATTCATTGAGTAACCTGGGTACGGACCCCCATAAATCCATTCATTGAGTAACCTGGGTACGGACCCCCATAAATCCATTCATTGAGTAACCTGGGTACGGACCCCCATAAATCCATTCATTGAGTAACCTGGGTACGGACCCCCATAAATCCATTTATTGAGTAACCTGGGTACGGACCCCCATAAATCCATTCATTGAGTAACCTGGGTACGGACCCCCATAAATCCATTCATTGAGTAACCTGGGTACAGACCCCCATAAATCCATTCATTGAGTAACCTGGGTACGGACCCCCATAAATCCATTCATTGAGTAACCCGGGTACAGACCCCCATAAATCCATTCATTGAGTAACCCGGGTACGGACCCCCATAAATCCATTCATTGAGTAACCCGGGTACAGACCCCCATAAATCCATTCATTGAGTAACCTGGGTACGGACCCCCATAAATCCATTTATTGAGTAACCCGGGTACAGACCCCCATAAATCCATTCATTGAGTAACCAGGGTACGGACCCCCATAAATCCATTCATTGAGTAACCCGGGTACGGACCCCCATAAATCCATTCATTGAGTAACCTGGGTACGGACCCCCATAAATCCATTCATTGAGTAACCCGGGTACGGACCCCCATAAATCCATTCATTGAGTAACCTGGGTACGGACCCCCATAAATCCATTCATTGAGTAACCCGGGTACAGACCCCCATAAATCCATTCATTGAGTAACCTGGGTACGGACCCCCATAAATCCATTCATTGAGTAACCTGGGTACAGACCCCCATAAATCCATTCATTGAGTAACCTGGGTACAGACCCCCATAAATCCATTCATTGAGTAACCTGGGTACCGACCCCCATAAATCCATTCATTGAGTAACCTGGGTACCGACCCCCATAAATCCATTCATTGAGTAACCCGGGTACAGACCCCATTAATCCATTTATTGGTAACGGTGCCGACCCCATAAATCCATTCATTGGTAACGTTTTAGACCCCCCGCCATCCATTCATTGAGTAACCTGGTACGGACCCCCATAAAATCCATTCATTGAGTAACCTGGGTACAGACCCCCATAAATCCATTCTTGAGTAACCTGAATTACGGACCCCATAAATCCATTGTTGAGTAACCGGGTACGACCCCCATAAATCCATTTATTGGGTAAAGACCCCCATAAATCCATTCATTGAGTAACCTGGGTACAAACCCCCATAAATCCATTCATTGAGTAACCTGGGTACGGACCCCCATAAATCCATTTACTCAGTAACCTGGGTTACGGACCCCCATAAATCCATTCATTGAGTAACCTGGGTACGGACCCCCATAAATCCATTTATTGAATTACACGGGTACGGACCCCCATTAATCCATTTATTGAGTAACCGGGTACAGACCCCCATTAATCCATTCATTGAGTAACCTGGGTACGGACCCCCATAAATCCATTCATTGAGTAACCCGGGTACAAACCCCCATAAATCCATTCATTGAGTAACCTGGGTACGGACCCCCATAAATCCATTCATTGAGTAACCTGGGTACAGACCCCCATAAATCCATTCATTGAGTAACCTGGGTACCGACCCCCATAAATCCATTCATTGAGTAACCGGGTACGGACCCCCATAAATCCATTCATTGAGTAACCTGGGTACAAACCCCCATAAATCCATTTATTGAGTAACCCGGGTACGGACCCCCATAAATCCATTCATTGAGTAACCTGGGTACGGACCCCCATAAATCCATTCATTGAGTAACCAGGGTACCGACCCCCATAAATCCATTCATTGAGTAACCGGGTACGGACCCCCATAAATCCATTCATTGAGTAACCCGGGTACAAACCCCCATAAATCCATTTATTGAGTAACCTGGGTACGGACCCCCATAAATCCATTCATTGAGTAACCTGGGTACGGACCCCCATAAATCCATTCATTGAGTAACCCGGGTACGGACCCCCATAAATCCATTCATTGAGTAACCTGGGTACGGACCCCCATAAATCCATTCATTGAGTAACCTGGGTATGGACCCCCATAAATCCATTCATTGAGTAACCCGGGTACGGACCCCCATTAATCCATTTATTGAGTAACCTGGGTACGGACCCCCATTAATCCATTAATTGAGTAACCCGGGTATGGACCCCCATTAATCCATTTACCGAATAACACTGGTACGGACCCCCATTAATCCATTTATTTAATAACACAGGTACGGACCCCCATTAATCCATTCATTCAGTAACCCGGGTACAGACCACCATAAATTCATTCATTGAGTAACCCGGGTACGGACCCTCATTAATCCATTTATTTAATAACACTGGTACGGACCCCCATTAATCCATTTATTGAATTACACGGGTACGGACCCCCATTAATACATTTATTGAGTAATCCGGGTACAGACCCCCATAAATCCATTCCCTTCTCTGTCCATCCCGTAACTCCTATCTTTGCTAAAGGCAGCGACTGTTCTTTTTAACACAGGTTATGTTAAGCACCGGGTGTTGATATATTTAGACTGCAATTTCCATAATCCTTTGCCAAATACTGACTTTTGGGTCCACAAACATCTTGGGGTCTGCAGTCCGACACCCCCTGATTTTAAGGGTCGGTTCCATTTGCTGTTCCTTAAAAAGTGCGTTACGAGGTTTGAGTTTGAAATGAATGGTTGGAGAGCGGATTACCGAGACGTTCTGTCTTCTCTGTGCGAGACGAGAGAGGAACTAATCACTGTGCGTTACTTGCAGCAAAGGGTTCTGGGAAGTGGTTCCTTAAGCTCCTCTCGCCCCTGGTAATTCCACTCACCAGTAAGAATGGCCGGATGATCTGATCGTAATTCTCTTATTTTATATATTTTTCATGATATTCTGTGGCTGGTAACCATAAACACTTTCTCATTAACTACCATGTGTTATGTAAATATATTTTTTTTAAATATAAAACCATAGTATTTGGTCATTTTGTAGATAATTTCTATTTGGTCCGTGTTGAAACCGAAAAAATAAATAAAACGAACACTTTAACTTTCAATATTTTTTGATTGTTTGATAATGCATTTCCCATTAGCGCTGTATTGATTGCAGGGCTGAAAATTAAAATGAAAGGGGATATATTTATACAGGTTATGTGTGTTATACTCGTGTGAAGGCTGTGAAGGTTTATTTAAAGCGGCAGTGCCTTTCTTTGTCTCTTTTGCTCCCGTCTAAAAATCGTCTTTCTGATATTTGTCTGCTCTCGTTGTCCTGTGACAGATACTAGAAGTTGTGTTTATGTATCCCTTATGCTGGCTGTTATTTCGATATCGATTTGCCTTATCTCTGGTGCTTTAATCCATAGTGGTTTATACAGTCGTGGGTCTGTTTGGAGATTTACCAAAAATTCAACCTTTGTGCTTTTTTTTTAGGTAGATTGCTGGCATTTCATTGAATAACTAGGGTTTCAATTATGGAGTGCTCCCTGCTGGAGCACTGCACTCTCCGGGGCTTGGTGACACTCCTCGCTTGCTCTCCTCAAATTATTCCAGGGGGCATGGGGTGAATAAAAGGGGGGATTGCCCTCCCCCACCCACCACCACCCCTGGAAGGCAGTTCTTTTAAAGGAAGCAGTGTCTGGTATTGATGTGAGGTTTGACTACATTTCTCATTATCCAGGATAAGAAACGTAGTCTGTTTCCCCTTGGCCTTTTAAATGGAGCACTTCCTAAATTGTGGCTCTTCATTCCTGCACGGTGGGTCAATAAGCCAGACATTGAAAATGCAGGACAGGCAGTTAGTGCTGCCTTTTGTCCCCTATGCAACCCAGGCACAGCACGGTTTAGGATGATGGGAGCTATATTCAGTATTATATGATAAGTATTGGCCTTGAGCCTTGAGCTGTCCTGTTACAAAGTAACTGGGAATTGACGTCAGCACAAAGTGGATCTCTTGCTGTTCTAAAGGGATATGTGTCAACCCTCCTGGCACTTATGGGGTTAATGCGAACTTGGTCTGAGACTGCAGGCTCTGCAAACTAAGCTGCCATCTGATTTGTTTCACATCTGGACCCAAAACTGCTGAGGATAATGAGACTTTTGTTTCAATAGTCAGCTGAACTTCACTTCTAAACCAGTTGAAGAATTTCCTGTATCCTCACACACTTTATGGAAGAGAATTAAATAATTATACACAGAATCCATCACTGGGTCCTTTTTAATTGGAATGAGATCTTGCGTTTGTTGCACAAAGCTGGATGAGCATGATAGGAGCTGCAGTCTCAGAGTAGGATTGTCATGCCGTGATACCTCAAAGGTGAATAGTCAGTAATTGCCCTTATTACTGTACTGCGGCACTTGACTTGTAACAGCGGCTGCTGGTTGCTGGCAGAGACTCATGGGGGTTGTAGTTCAGCAGCATTAAAGCTGTCTTTTAATGTACAGTTAGCCCTTTTTGCTTTTAACCCCTTAAGGACACATGACGTGTGACATGTTATGATTGCCTTTTATTCCAGAAGTTTGGTCCTTAAGGGGTTAAATAACCCACGAGAGCCGCTCTGTGTTGTCTAAATCATGAAACTGTAAGCCAGTGGCGGAATTGTCAAATTTAGACCAAACCGGCAACGTTGCCTATTTTTGCCTGAATCCCATCTCTCTGCTGCCGGCCTATCACAGCTCACAGTTTAACATCTAAAGACGCATTATCTCTGGATTGGTACGTTTACTGCAAGGACACCTGGCTCGCCTTTTCTTTTTGTGTGAATGTGTCCATGAGTCATGCAAAAAGTCTGAAATTTGCACATCGTTCCAAGAACACTAATTTTGTAGGAAACAAATATATAAAAAAAATTGTCAGAGTTTGCAATGCACATTTTTATTTTTTTTGTATTTCTTTGCTTCCAGTTGTTGCCAGATAGGGGCTTCTGTTTTTGTCAGATCCCTCTGGCTACAAAATGGTTGAGGGCAAATGTGTATTCCTCTGGGAGGAATAGAGAGAAAATAGGACCTTTAACCGAAAAATAAAAATCTTCCTCCCTTGACGTTTTGAGACCAAGGGCTGTGCATGGACGGAGTCTCAATGAGTTACACGCCCGGCACTCACATGGTTCGTGGAGCCCCCTGTGTGTATTTAGGCAGATATTGGAAGTATCCTTTTCAAAAAGAAGAAAAAAATTGCCTTCAGCTAATTTTTTTTTATTATTTTTTTTGCACGCAAAGTCCTGAATACTTTCGTTGTAAAAAGCATGCAAGATTTGGGGCCTGGTTTTTTTTGTTTTTTTTTTCTGTATAAAAAGAGTGCAGAGAGAACTATTTTTGGTTAGTTAATGTCGCCATGCAATGCATATTTTTTAAGAAAAACTAAACTTTGTCTTTTCTGAAGTTGGCACGTTTGTTGTATGTATTTAAGCTTCCAGGTATACGAAGGATTCAATGCAAACAGTCTGACGGTTGCAATGCAGTTATTTGCTCATGTACAGTTTCCAAATGTTGTTAAAGTGTAAGATCACCCTTGTGATTTCAAAATGTATTTATTACCCATCTCCTCAGTCTCACCAAAAGTCACGGCTATATTTCATATCATTATATTGAAAGTGAGTGAGATGATTAATACAAGATTTTGTAACACTCTTGTGAGTTTCTTTTTTTTTTCTGCCATTTTTCAAATCTTGGGGTTGGATGGGGTATTGACGGCCTGTGTGTGCTCGGTGTGGTACGGAGTAATAAAGCTTTCACCCAGGGCTATGCTGAGATTAATGGGTAAATGTAGTGCTGGAAGGCCATATCTGCACAATACGTCACTTTGTCAGAACGAGCAATAGCCAATCATTTTATTGATGCTACTCGGCTCCAACTCAAAGTATTTGTCAGCCGGTGTATCTGCCATTTTTCCTGGTGAACCTGCTTCATAGCACTGCGTTATGACCTCACATCTCGGGTTCTGACATCATATCAAGGGACATGATAGAGATATTCTCAGAGACACAGACAGACCAAGGGACAAAAGAAGTGACATCAGGAAATGCTTGAAATGTTTGTCTGTGGTCTCTCCGCTGCTTCCTTGCACACAGCTACGTGTATCTGTTGACTTACCTTGTTCCAGGCATCATTTCAGTCTAAACCAGGGTTGTCAAACATGCAGCCCCCCAGATGTTGCTGAACTACAACTCCCATGATTCTTTCAATGAAACAGATAGCCAGGGAATCATGGGAGTTGTAGTTCAGCAACATCTGGGGGGCCGCATGTTTGACAACCCTGGTCTAAACTGTTCTCGAACTATCAGAAGCAGCTGATTGCTGTGATTGTGAAGCCCCCTCTGGAATCAGACGTTTTATTAATGTTCCAGTGTAAGCTTTGTCCACTTGTTCCATAAAATGCAGCGAGATGAATCATTGCAAAGGAATGTGGATGGTTAGTAATCTTGCCTACGATGACTCCATTCTTGATTCCACGCCAGCCACAGGCCTGGGCCGACAGACTCGGAACTTCCTTAGCGGGCTTTGTCTTTCCTAAAATAAATACATTCCAGCCAGGACTTTGCAATGAACTGATGTCACTCCCTTTTTGCAAGCTGTGGACAGTCCGTGTGAGGGTAATAGCTGAATTCATTACTATACACTGTTCAATGAATAAACCCAAAATCACTATAATGATTTAATTCATTCAGTTATAAACCATTCCATGTCATTGAAGTGGTTATAGTGCCTGGAGTCCCATGACTCTGTCCATTCATTTAGTGTTAAACTATCTAATTGAAGTGGTTATAGTACATGGAATCCCCAATCTCTGTCCCTCCATTCAGTTATAAACCATTCCACCTCATTGAAGTGGTTATAGTACCTGGAATCCCCTGGCACTGTCCCTCTATTCAGTATTAAACCATTTTGGAGCAGTTTAACACTGAAAGGGTCCCTGGCTTCCACAGCTCCGCGGTGTGGCTAAGGAACACATTACACACTTCCTTCTAGCCATACCAATTCATACCAGCAATGGGCGCTGTGATAGGCTGAAAGCAGTCAGCTGACCCTCTCAGCCAATCACAGCCACCCATCACTGCTCAGGATAATGAATCCTCGTTAGCCGAAGAAGCAGAGAGTATCTCTAATAATGAAACAAAACGAGACCTGTGCCTTCTGCCTCACAAAGAGTTAATACTGAAGGCATATATATCAAGAAACCTGCAACTGATCGAGTCTCTCTATCCCTCAGTCTTCTATCGCACATGCTCAGCAAAGACTGGCTAATAACCGTAACCGGCCAGATTTTCTCCTCCTTCACTGAACGTGGTCCGAGGAGAATCCCACAAATCAGATCTAGAAACACTGTAACCCGATTTGTAGCTATTTCTACCAAAGTGATCGACAGATAATGATGCCAAAATCGCCTTTTACAGCCTGTGTACAACGCTATGGAATGTGTTGTTGCTATATTTATAAACGAAAGATGAAAATAATTTTCCACAAAATGGAAACAGCTGATAAGGTGAGATTAGATAAATGTTAGTCTGCAATCGAACATATTCTGTTCTACAACCATTCAAATTACACACCAGGAAATCATCACAGATTAGGCTTTCTAACCTCCTAACCCTGTCTGTATGTATTTTTAATTTATAAAAATTTCTAAACTTCCATTGTCAGTGCTTTTCCTTGTTTTTTGGGGAGAGCCACCTTTAGTCAGAAGCTCAGCGTACCTGACCAAAGGTTCACAAAGTAGCACAGGCGTGTCATAGGGTGCGTTCACCAATGCTGACATCAGGCACAGGCGTGCCATAGGGTGCGTTCACCAATGCCGACATCAGGCACAGGCGTGTCATAGGGTGCGCTCACCAGTGCTGACATCAGGCACAGGCGTGTCATAGGGTGCGTTCACCAGTGCTGACATCAGGCACAGGCGTGTCATAGGGTGCGTTCACCAATGCTGACATCAGGCACAGGCGTGTCATAGGGTGCGTTCACCAATGCTGACATCAGGCACAGGCATGTCATAGGGTGCGTTCACCAATGCTGACATCAGGCACAGGCGTGTCATAGGGTGCGTTCACCAATGCTGACATCACGCACAGGCGTGTCATAGGGTGCGTTCACCAGTGCTGACATCAGGCACAGGCGTGTCATAGGGTGCGTTCACCAGTGCTGACATCAGGCACAGGCGTGTCATAGGGTGCGTTCACCAATGCTGACATCAGGCACAGGCGTGTCATAGGGTGCGTTCACCAATGCTGACATCACGCACAGGCGTGTCATAGCATGCGTTCACCAATGCTGACATCAGGCACAGGCGTGTCATAGGGTGCGTTCACCAACGCTGACATCTGGCACAGACGTGTCATAGGGTGCGTTCACCAACGCTGACATCAGGCACAGGCGTGTCATAGGGTGCGTTCAATGCTGACATCACGCACAGGCGTGTCATAGGGTGCGTTCACCAATGCTGACATCAGGCACAGGCGTGTCATAGGGTGTGCTTACCAATGCTGACATCAGGCACAGGCGTGTCATAGGGTGCGTTCACCAACGCTGACATCTGGCACAGACGTGTCATAGGGTGCGTTCACCAACGCTGACATCAGGCACAGGCGTGTCATAGGGTGCGTTCAATGCTGACATCACGCACAGGCATGTCATAGGGTGCGTTCACCAATGCTGACATCAGGCACAGGCGTGTCATAGGGTGTGCTTACCAATGCTGACATCACACATTCGTGTCATAGTGTGCGCTTACCAATGCTGACATCACGCACAGGCGTGTCATAGCGTGCGCTTACCAATGCTGACATCACGCACAGGTGTGTCATAGTGTGCGCTTACCAATGCTGACATCACGCACAGGCGTGTCATAGGGTGCGTTCACCAATGCTGACATCAGGCACAGGCGTGTCATAGGGTGCGTTCACCAATGCTGACATCACGCACAGGCGTGTCATAGGGTGCGTTCACCAGTGCTGACATCACGCACAGGCGTGTCATAGGGTGCGTTCACCAATGCTGTTATCAGGCACAGACGTGTCATAGGGTGCGTTCACCAACGCTGACATCAGGCACAGGCGTGTTATAGGGTGCGTTCATTGCTGACATCACGCACAGGCATGTCATAGGGTGCGTTCACCAATGCTGACATCACACATTCGTGTCATAGTGTGCGCTTACCAATGCTGACATCACGCACAGGCGTGTCATAGCGTGCGCTTACCAATGCTGACATCACGCACAGGTGTGTCATAGTGTGCGCTTACCAATGCTGTCATCACGCATTCGTGTCATAGCGTGCGCTTACCAATGCTGACATCACGCACAGGCGTGTCATAGCGTGCGCTTACCAATGCTGACATCACGCACAGGCGTGTCATAGCGTGCACTTACCAATGCTGACATCACGCACAGGTGTGTCATAGTGTGCGCTTACCAATGCTGACATCACACATTCGTGTCATAGCGTGCGCTTACCAATGCTGACATCACGCACAGGTGTGTCATAGTGTGCGCTTACCAATGCTGTCATCACGCATTCGTGTCATAGCGTGCGCTTACCAATGCTGACATCACGCACAGGCGTGTCATAGCGTGCGCTTACCAATGCTGACATCACGCACAGGCGTGTCATAGCGTGCACTTACCAATGCTGACATCACGCACAGGCGTGTCATAGCGTGCACTTACCAATGCTGACATCCCACATTCTTGTCATAGCGTGCGCTTACCAATGCTGACATCCCACATTCTTGTCATAGCGTGCGCTTACCAATGCTGACATCATGCATCATGCAAGTGATAATAAAATGACGACTGCTGGTCTTAACGCAGAACAATTTATTAATATGAGGGCTTTGATTGTTGTGTTAAAGTTTTCGTGCTGTGATTTTCTCATCCTGCAATTTATTAATTACCAGATTCTGCAGCAGCCGCCAATGCCCAGCTGACTGTATTGCTCAATCATTGTATTGTGTCAACATTCGCTTTACAGGAGCGCCCTCTACTGAGCAAGTAAGGCGTACAGCGGCAGAAGCCGGATTTAGAATAGTACTCACCCTCCCCCCCCCATCACTGAAATCTGACAACATCAAGGGTTGTCTTGGCAACTACTCAATCTGTGTCAGCTGGCTTGAAAAATCCATAAATAGTCGGCCATCCAGCAGTTATTTCCTTCTCTGAACTATTCAAACAGTGAACATTGTTACTCCACTATGTGTCCCCCCTGAGCCAGAGCACTAAATCAGGAAAAAGTTCTAAAAAAAACAAAAAAGATGGGTTAAATGCAAGTCCCCCAGAATGAGAGGTAAGTACCTGACTACACAGCCCAGAATGAGAGGTAAGTACCTGACGACGTCACAGCCCAGAATGAGAGGTAAGTACCTGACGTCACAGCCCAGAATGAGAGGTAAGTACCTGACGACACAGCCCAGAATGAGAGGTAAGTACCTGACGACACAGCCCAGAATGAGAGGTAAGTACCTGACGTCACACCCCAGAATGAGAGGTAAGTACCTGACTACACAGCCCAGAATGAGAGGTAAGTACCTGACGTCACAGCCCAGAATGAGAGGTAAGTACCTGACGTCACAGCCCAGAATGAGAGGTAAGTACCTGACGACAGTCTAGAATGAGAGGTAAGTACCTGACGTCACACCCCAGAATGAGAGGTAAGTACCTGACGTCACACCCCAGAATGAGAGGTAAGTACCTGACGTCACACCCCAGAATGAGAGGTAAATAACTGACGTCACACCCCAGAAATGGAGGTTTAGGAAAAGAAACGGATACAATTATCAGTTTTGGGTGTTAAAGGGACACTATGGGCACTATGTCTCAGGTCAGGCAAAGGTAATTATTGCAGCTTTTGATAATTGCATGAGGACATGCAGTGTCACCCAAAACCCCATAGGAAATCGTTATACAATGCTTTAATATATGGGCAGTCCTAATGTTCTCGCCGTGCATGCGCATTAGGTCCCCCTCCACCGGCTGACATCTGAAAAGCCTGAACCATCACCGCCAATGGTAAAAATGTCCATTCTTTACAATTTCAATTTTACCCCCTTTATAAAATTTAAACTGTTTTACACCTTCACCTTTTAAAGCCCCAGCTCTTTGATATGTCCGATGTTTGTTGCTGTAACAGAAGGAAATCCTAAAATCTACTATGTTCTAGTGAGGGCGACTGTTAGTCCTCGTTACAGTGGGTTCGTTTTACTTGATTCCGGATAGTCTTATTTGGAGATACTGATATACTCTCTCTCATGGTAGATTTCTCCGACATATCCTGGACCTAGATGGAGATATGGAGAACATTTCTGCAGTACCTCTGTCCAGTAGGCATCTTAATCTCTCGTAATGGTGGGATTAATTACCTAGATCCTTCCACAAATACCGGCCTGAGAGATGAAATGGGCAGGAGGACAAGATGTGTTGGTCCAGCGAGTAATGGGCTAGATGCTGAAGGAAGGCCACAGAGTCCCAGGTGGATGGTGGGGAAAGAGGAGATTGGAAGAACGATGTGGCAGGACAGGGCAGAAGACACCTAGGAAATGCCACACCTGATATGATTTCTGTTTCAAAGCTGATGGGAATGAAGGAGAAATGTCAAGATGTATTCACTAAAATTGTGCAGAATCCGCTGCAAAATCTTGACAAAAATGTTCGTATTAGAGCATATTTAACTTATTGTGACCTAAATTGTGCTTGTCTTCTCAAGTCTTCCCAATTCTTTCCTCAGTGACTTTAATGTTTGGTAAAGAAAGATGGTCAGGCCAGGAGGTGTACGGCGAGCAGTGAGAGCGATAATTAAAGGATGGAATAATCTATGAAAACGTCTTATAATCAGGTACAATAAATGCAATGCCGTTTAAATTCCATGTAATTGTGGAAATTAATACTGTCATGCCCAACTTACCTTCCCCCAATCGCTACCTCTTCTCTTCCTATCTCGGAATCTGTATTTCATTTCTTCCTGTCTGCTCTAGTTTTCTTTAAAACAAAAGACAAAGTAGGGACTATTTGTCTTATGAAGGTTCCCTACACTTGACAAGCTTTAACTAGCGGAGGAGCTAAATCCGCTCTATTTCCTGTGGTCAAAGACATTGCCCCCACAATACTCTCCTTTCCTCCTGTGTTCTTGTGTTACTTGATACGCCGTTTGAATGTCCTACCATTTAGACAGGGAGCTGACGAATTCACAGAATTTCGTCCTAACAGAATGAGTACAGTTTGACCATTCGTTCCCACAGTATTGGCGAGCTATCTACTAAAAGGCTGAAAGCTCCCTTTTTGTAATAAACTAAACGAACAAAGAGGTCTTCATTCATTCATTTGTTTGACATTTCTATCCATTTGTCTTTCTGACGAATAAATTAATACCAGAAATTCCCATCCGAATTTCGTGCAATAGCGAATGCCCATGTGTGTAACTTGGCAGGTGCGGGGATTTTGCAGAGCTATCTAGTGTAGGCAGGTTACTTGTCCCACAGGGCCTTCATCTACCGACACAAAGATGGTGGTGCCCAGGACCTAGGTCTGGACATAAAAAAAAATTTTTTTTATTTTTTTTTTTAAAGTTAAAATGAAGTGCCTTTGGGGGTGACTAGGTGGACAATATAATGTATTGCAGTTAGGAGGGGGTTAAAAATATTTTCTAAAAAACCGATGCAGCCATGACAGTGCCGCTTTGAATGATAATTACACACAGTATGTTTTAGGGAATTTGCCGTCACTGCTGGATGCAAACTGTATGACTGACCACCCCTCAGGACGTGTCTCCCAGCTGCCATTTCCCAGACTGCACTACCCTGTCTGTCGCCTGCGCCTTCGGACTGTCTGACGATAAGACTGGGGGGGGGGCTTTATCAGGATTGAGGGGGGCAATAACGGTGGTCATGGGGCAGTATGGCTCTTGGCCGGGCGTAGAGCAGCTCCAGCCAGTCCTATTATCACAGCTTACAGCCAGGGCTCCGTCACCTGGTCATTGAGAAATCACATTGCCATCCCATAGGTGGCGCTGTGAGAGCAATGTTCTAGCCATCATGTAGAAATAGAACTGGGTGCTCAATACATTGTGTTTTTCACAACCTGCTAGAGAATGTCTATATAAGATACGTTTTTAAAGCATTTCAGGTAAATAATTTAATATCTAGTAAATAAGTCCTATTTACGGCTTTATTTCATTGAGTCGTTCCAGAAAACCTGATCTATGTTTCAGCAATTCATTCCCTGTCCGGCCTACAATATATAACGAGCCGACTTTACCACATTACCAAAGGGCCAAGATCCCCAAAATACATGGCCCTCACAAGCTGTCTCGTGAATATACTGAGTATACTATATAGTGTATAGAATGGGTAGTGTGTGTGTGTATACTATATAGTGTATAGAATGGATAGATTGTGTGTGTGTGTATACTATATAGTGTATAGAATGGGTAGTGTGTGTGTGTATACTATATAGTGTATAGAATGGATAGATTGTGTGTGTGTATACTATATAGTGTATAGAATGGATAGTGTGTGTGTGTGTATACTATATAGTGTATAGAATGGGTAGTGTGTGTGTGTATACTATATAGTGTATAGAATGGATAGATTGTGTGTGTGTATACTATATAGTGTATAGAATGGATAGTGTGTGTGTGTGTATACTATATAGTGTATAGAATGGGTAGTGTGTGTGTGTATACTATATAGTGTATAGAATGGATAGATTGTGTGTGTGTATACTATATAGTGTATAGAATGGATAGTGTGTGTGTGTGTATACTATATAGTGTATAGAATGGGTAGTGTGTGTGTGTATACTATATAGTGTATAGAATGGATAGATTGTGTGTGTGTGTATACTATATAGTGTATAGAATGGGTAGTGTGTGTGTGTATACTATATAGTGTATAGAATGGATAGATTGTGTGTGTGTATACTATATAGTGTATAGAATGGATAGTGTGTGTGTGTGTATACTATATAGTGTATAGAATGGGTAGTGTGTGTGTGTATACTATATAGTGTATAGAATGGATAGATTGTGTGTGTGTATACTATATAGTGTATAGAATGGATAGTGTGTGTGTGTGTATACTATATAGTGTATAGAATGGGTAGTGTGTGTGTGTATACTATATAGTGTATAGAATGGATAGATTGTGTGTGTGTATACTATATAGTGTATAGAATGGATAGTGTGTGTGTGTGTATACTATATAGTGTATAGAATGGGTAGTGTGTGTGTGTGTGTGTGTGTATACTATATATTGTATAGAATGGATAGATTGTGTGTGTACTATACAGTGTATAGAATGGATAGATTGTGTGTGTGTATACTATATAGTGTATAGAATGGATAGATTGTGTGTGTGTATACTATATAGTGTATAGAATGGATAGATTGTGTGTGTATAATATACAGTGTATAGAATGGATAGATTGTGTGTGTGTGTGTACTATATAGTGTATAGAATGGATAGATTGTGTGTGTATACTATATATTGTATAGAATGGATAGATTGTGTGTGTGTATACTATATAGTGTGTAGAATGGATAGATTGTGTGTGTGTGTGTGTATACTATATATTGTATAGAATGGATAGATTGTGTGTGTATACTATATAGTGTATAGAATGGATAGATTGTGTGTGTACTATATAGTGTATAGAATGAATAGATTGTGTGTGTATACTATATATTGTATAGAATGGATAGATTGTGTGTGTATACTATATAGTGTATAGAATGGATAGATTGTGTGTGTATACTATATAGTGTATAGAATGGATAGATTGTGTGTGTGTGTGTATACTATATAGTGTATAGAATGGATAGATTGTGTGTGTATACTATACAGTGTATAGAATGGATAGATTGTGTGTGTATATACTATATATTGTATAGAATGGATAGATTGTGTGTGTATACTATATATTGTATAGAATGGATAGATTGTGTGTGTACTATATATTGTATAGAATGGATAGATTGTGTGTGTGTACTATATATTGTATAGAATGGATAGATTGTGTGTGTGTGTGTATACTATATATTGTATAGAATGGATTGTGTGTGTGTGTACTATATATTGTATAGAATGGATAGATTGTGTGTGTGTATACTATATAGTGTATAGAATGGATAGATTGTGTGTGTGTGTATACTATATAGTGTATAGAATGGATAGATTGTGTGTGTGTGTATACTATATATTGTATAGAATGGATAGATTGTGTGTGTGTATATATATTGTATAGAATGGATAGTGTGTGTGTACTATATATATATAGAATGGATAGATTGTGTATACTATACAGTGTATAGAATGGATAGATTGTGTGTGTAGTGTATAGAATGGATAGATGTGTGTGTGTGTGTATACTATATAGTGTATAGAATGGATAGATTGTGTGTGTATACTATACAGTGTATAGAATGGATAGATTGTGTGTGTATATACTATATAGTGTATAGAATGGATAGATTGTGTGTGTGTGTGTATACTATATATTGTATAGAATGGATAGATTGTGTGTGTATACTATATAGTGTATAGAATGGATAGATTGTGTGTGTATACTATATATTGTATAGAATGTACTATATATTGTATAGAATGGGTAGTGTGTGTGTGTGTGTGTATACTATATAGTGTATAGAATGGGTAGTGTGTGTGTGTGTATACTATATAGTGTATAGAATGGGTAGTGTGTGTGTGTATACTATATAGTGTATAGAATGGGTAGTGTGTGTGTGTATACTATATGTGTATAGAATGGATAGATTGTGTGTGTGTGTACTATATATTGTATAGAATGGATAGATTGTGTGTGTGTGTACTATATAGTGTATAGAATGGATAGATTGTGTGTGTGTACTATATATTGTATAGAATGGGTAGTGTGTGTGTGTGTGTATACTATATAGTGTATAGAATGGGTAGTGTGTGTGTGTGTATACTATATAGTGTATAGAATGGGTAGTGTGTGTGTGTGTATACTATATAGTGTATAGAATGGGTAGTGTGTGTGTGTATACTATATAGTGTATAGAATGGATAGATTGTGTGTGTGTGTGTGTGTATACTATATTGTATAGAATGGATAGATTGTGTGTGTGTGTACTATATAGTGTATAGAATGGGTAGTGTGTGTGTGTGTATACTATATAGTGTATAGAATGGGTAGTGTGTGTGTGTGTGTGTGTGTGTGTGTATATACTATATAGTGTATAGAATGGGTAGTGTGTGTACTATACAGTGTATAGAATGGATAGATTGTGTGTGTGTATACTATATAGTGTATAGAATGGATAGATTGTGTGTGTATACTATATATTGTATAGAATGGATAGATTGTGTGTGTGTACTATATATTGTATTGAATGGATAGATTGTGTGTGTGTATACTATATAGTGTATAGAATGGATAGATTGTGTGTGTGTGTGTACTATATTTTGTATAGAATGGATAGATTGTGTGTGTGTGTGTGTGTGTGTATACTATATATTGTATAGAATGGATAGATTGTGTGTGTGTATACTATATAGTGTATAGAATGGATAGATTGTGTGTGTATACTATATAGTGTATAGAATGGATAGATTGTGTGTGTATACTATATATTGTATAGAATGGATAGACTGTGTGTGTGTACTATATATTGTATAGAA